AAAAAAAAAGTTACAACTCAAGAACAACCAGGTGAAAGAGATGCATATGGCAAGGTATGGGAGAAGGCGTGTGGGGCTTCCATGCCCTTTCCAGGTGCACCACCCTCCCAGCACCTCCTTGTGTTTACCAACCTGAAAGCTCCCTCAAATGTATAGTTCAAGGAATTTTGTGGAGACCTCAACATGTTGTCATGATTGATTAAATAACTGGCCACTAGTGATTAACTCAACTTCCATCTCCTCTCCTCTAACCTTGGTGGTTAGGAGACAGGGCTAACAGTTGGGACCCTCTAATCACCTGCCCCCATCCTTAGCAGCTGTCTAAAAGTCATCTCATTAACATAAACTCAGGTGTGGTTGAAAGGAACCATTGTCCTGGCTCTTATCACTTAAATTCCAAGGGTTTTTGGAGCTCTGTGCCAGGAAAGGGACAAAGACTAAAATATATGTTTCTTTTATAAGTCAGAATATCACAATCCTATTCCTAGATACATCTAAAAAGACTGCACTAGCAACTGTATTCTGTATAATTCAAAAATCCACTTGCCCAAAAGCCCAAACCTAGAATCATCTTAAAAGCCTCTGTAAACAGGAGAAGTATAGGACTGAAGTAAACATCCACAGGTTTAAACTGGTAAAGAGGTATCCTGAAATGTGTCTTTAGGTGGAAGCAAGGAAGAGGGTGCTGGAAAATTAACTAATGCTGAGCTTTGAGTTAGTTTGGGACATCACCAGCTTATAGGCTTTCAAGACAGAATGAGGCCTGGAGTTAGCCTGCCCTCCCTGTCCAACATAGGCTAGCCAGCTCTGCTTGGAGTGTCGGGAACCATTAGCTTACTAAAAACTAATGTGACCAGCATATACAGAGTATTCGTAAATGGAAAATATGATTATTAAAGTAAATTTTTTATTAGAAATAATCTTGAGGGTGCATATAAACACAGGCTCTGGTTTTTCTACGGAGTGTGTACCAGCAAACTCTACCCATCAATCTAAACCCTCCAGTGAGGATAATTACTACCTTGGTGTGCACTCAACCACTCAGAAAAGGGGGGAAAGCCTCCAACTGGATCCTGACCAAGCACTATTCCATAGCAACGCAGAAAAAAAAGGGTGGAGAAAGCCATGTATAGTCACCCAGTGGTTGATAAAAATGGGTACTTTCCACTCAATGGAAGTTTTTAGATTTTCATGCCAAGTCAACTAACAGGGCCACGTGTTTCTGCTGAAGTCAATGGGAAACCAGGCACCAACTGTGGGAAGAGGCAGGACTTTGGAGTCTGGAAGTTAAACCTGCTCCAAGAACTACAGGATTCATTGGGGATTTGGGTAAATAACTGAGTTCAATGCTCAAAAAGTCAATGGATACACCTAGAAGGTAAACAGAGCCAGTTTTAGCTCCCTTTGCTCTTACAGGGGGCTAAAACTAGGAGAAGACACCAATCACAGCAAACCCAGCTTTCCCATGAGACAACAAGGAGATTTGGGCCCACAACTGTCCATCTTGAAGAGCTGGCTCAGGTAGCCATGGACACTTACCTGGGGCACAGCTGTCTACCAAGGCTCCCAGAGCCTTGCCATCTTGCCAGTTCTGGTTAAAGTTGGTGATGGGCAAGTAGGGGATCTTGTTCTGAATCCATCCCAGCAGCCTCTGCTTCGGTGTCTGCTTCTTGGCATCATCATCCCCTTCGTCCTCCCACACGGGCATAGAGATGGAGTAGTGGAGGATCAGTGTCCACACCAGGCCCAGGATGAGCTTCAGGTTCCCATCCACAATGGCTTTGCTATCTGGGGAGAGAGGCACAAGCGTGGGTTGGCACCTTCCTCTGGGTTGTGAATGAAATCTTCATTTGTCAGAGAACCACACAGAATTATTTCAGCATGAAAGGACTGTAATGTTAAAATTTGCTTCAAAATACTTGAGGATGGGAACAGATGAAACTAGATTCCAAAATGTTTACCAGTGTCGTGAAATCATGGGTACATGAGAATGTATTATACTTTTATCTCTACTTTTGCATACGTTGGAAATGTTCTGTAATAAAAAGAGCTTTTAAATTTTAAAGGACTCATTTCAGAAATACAGACAATAAGAAGAGGTGGCTGAATTCCAGGGACAACCATCTGTTTAACTTGATAGTATGTGATCTACCAAATTATATGTGTATGTGTTTGTATATATATACATATACATATGTGTGTGTGTGTGTTTGCTTCCTTGAATTTATATTCTACTATACTTTTCTTTTCAGTAGTCATTATGTCCTAGAGGTGTAAGAGGCCAGTTTCCCTTGAGATCTCACCCTCCCTGGGTGTTATCAATCATTTTCATCTCTGCTCTTCTCTCCAGTTAGTCATTCATAAGATAAAGTCATTAATAGTTAAGCTAATCCAGCTGGGCAAAGTCTCTGTTGCCAGAAGGATAAGTGACTGGCCCAAGGTCCTGGCTCCTCTCTAGTGCTCCCTGAGCTTAACACAACAAGCCATACACCAGCCCTTCTAGGAATCTTCCAGGAAATCTCCCTGCTGCTGGTTTCTACCTTCTACTCCCTTGGCTTCTCTATGGCCCTCTGTCCTCTGTCCTCTTTCCAACCTCTACCTACATCCACCAAAATCCAAACATTACCAATAAAATCTCTCTATCTCTCTCCCTGTCTCCCCCTGCACACACTTCCCCTCCTATCCATCCCCAATCTCTCTCCCCCTCTCCCTTCCCCTCCTGTCTATACCCCCATCTCTCTCCCCCTCACCCACATCCTTCCCCTCCTATTACCCACCCACCCACTCCCCCCTCTCAATTTCCTCCACCCTTTCCCCACCAAACAACCCCTGTTAAACGCCCCTATTCTACCAGGACCCCAAACTGAAAATGTCAGAGCCATCATGGACTCCTCCTTCAAATCTCAGGTTGCCATTTCAACAATGTGTCAATTCCCTTCTCTACCTACATCTCTTGGCAAATCCTTTTCTCCACCTTCCCAATAAATGTGTGGCCCCTCCTCCCTTCTCTCAGAGTCCTGGACAGCCATGAAGTCCTGGACAGCCATGAAGCTGAACCATGTTCACATAACCCTACAACTATGTTTCTAGTCAGGTACCTCTGTGCTTCCAAATTCACCAATGGTCCCAACTGCCCACAATCAAACTCCTTAGACATAGAGCACCCTCAGAACCCCCAAACACAGCCTGCTTTTCACCCTTGTCACCCCTCCCACCACAGTTCACACTCCAGACTCAGAGACTCCTCATTCCTGGACTACATCCTGCTTTGGACCCCATGGACCTCTCCATGTGTTCTGTATTCCCTCTGGTGGGAAGACCCTTCACCCCCATCCTCCTGTGGGACAAGCCCTGGCTCATCATCCAAGGACCAGATCCAACAGGTGGTGGCCCTTCACTCCCACCAACATGTGTGTGACTGTGCCAGGGTCCTCTCAAGACAAAAACCATTCACTCCTGAGCCTCCAAGCCCCCATTCCAGGACTGTGAGCACCTGCCATGGAGTAATAAGCCTTCACCATCTTGCAGCTCCCTTCACCCTGTCCCACCCATTCACCCACCCACCACAAACCACCTGAATGTCAGTTAGACACATGCCAGATTGCACTTAATGAAACCCAACTACAACCACATGAGAAATATACACACATACTGAGAAGGAGTAAACCCCATGTCACTCAAAACTGAAAGGGTGGAGACTTTTTTTGTTTTTAAATTCACCTGGTTATTGTTAGTCCTCTCACAAGAAAAGATCCTCTTAAAAGGGCGCACCCAAACCCACAGAAACCAAAGGTACTTTTATGGTTGTAGATTCAGTCATAATAAAACTCGATCGTGTAAAATTGTACAGGGTAAAGAGTATCATAAACTGGCTGGTAAGACAATTTATATTTGAGCAGTCCTCACTCAAAGTTAAGGTGTCCAGAGATTTTCTATGCAATGAATTGTATAAATAATAACTTTTAAACAGGACAGTCCACATAACTCACAGGGCTCAGCGACAAATGAAAATACATGACTTCTCGTCCAAAAAGGATTAAGAATTTCAAGATGGCAACAGCAGAGCATTAAACCAAGCACAGAACCCTTCTGAGAGCAGGGCCCTGTACAGCTGCACAGACTATGTGACCACGAAGCCCCCTCTGCTTCTGAGGTCCTGTGGTCAATAAAGCAATAATCTGCAGAAGACACTTGACCGTGCACAGAACTTGAACATCCGAGGAGTTCATCCCACGGACCATATGTTTCTCCAGCTGGCAGCCCTTGACCATGACGGAATTTTTTTGATAAGATGTCCTGTTATAAGGTCGTCTTTGAAGCGCTACTGATTACTGAGTTACTACCTACCAATCATAAGAAATTCCAGGTGAAACAATTTTCCATGCCAGAGTCCTTTATTTAAACTAAAGGGAGAAGAGCAGTCCTCAGAAGGGGGAAGCACGAGGTGGGGATGAAGTAAAGTATGTGAATGCTTATCGTTAGTCAGCATACCCGTGCTGGACCAGGCAAGGTCAGGTCTTGCACCAGGAAGGATCTGAACAGGCCAGAAAGTCTCATGCAGCCACAAGCATCAGACTACAAAGTTCAACTTTCCTGAGTTATGTGTTAAGTGCTCTTCAAATGCAAACTTACAGATTTTATCCATAAATCAAAACATGAAACCAGTTTGCTCTATTTTTACCCGGCTTACACATGTTGGTCTGAAGGAATGAGACATGAGTCTTTTTCAAAAAAGATTTCAGGGGAAATATGACCCAGTAAAAGTCTGAGCCAAATTTATGAAAAATACAATGCCCAGAACTTCTGTTTCCAATGAATTCAAGGTGGGTGTCCAAACGGGAAAGCCCCCATTAAGATCTCCTTGGGATAAATGATACTTTTGCTCTGCTATTCTAAGAAGCTGGAGAAAGAACAGTCCTAGTTCCAAAAGTGATTTTGACAGGTGAAGGTTCAAATGCTTTACCGAACTCTTGGAACAATAAAACGATGGCAACTTGCCCAAAATGACTCCCCCTTTCCCACCCACATGAAACAGAAGACTCCCAATGCCTTGAAAATGAAATGCTCCACAGCATTACAGTGTCAATGTCTGACCATCACAACAGACTACAGGATTTTCAAACGTGAGCGTGCTCTGTGATGTTTATGTCGAGTGTAAACATGAAACAGAAATGTAAAAGGAGGAAAGGTCCAGGTCAGCTGGAAGCCTCTCTGGCAGGATTCCACCTCATTGAGAGCCTCTTTCTGGAATAAAATAAGCCAGCGCCCGCCACGCCTGCTGGACCTCCTAGAATCTGCTTAGGTTGTAGTTGGCCTGGAATCTGGCCACAGGTTTCTCCTCCCCAGATCCAACCAATCACAATTCCCATGTAACTGGTCCTGGCTCTGGACAGCACTGACCCTCCAACCGCATACACACCCTCTGGAACTACTTAAAATTATCCAGCATTGCTTCTAAGTGAGGGCAGTGGCTTTTCTTCTTTTTTGATAGCTAGAAAGTTAATTTGAGCTACTGCAAATTCTAGGATGGAATGTTTTCACGTCATTTCTGTACACCGGTTCTCCAGCCCTCCCTGAGTAGCAATCAGGAATGGGCACATTTATGGGGGAGGAAACCAGCTATTTTTAGGCAATCTTTGGAAGCATCTTGGAAACATCTACTGCGTAGACAAGTTCCTCTGAGGAAGGGAGATGGTGATCTTTCCGTCTCTCATACCAGGAGGGCAGGATCCACACCACCAACTGCATGCTCACCACATTCACTGTGCCCATCTCCTCTATTACTGATTCACCAGGATGGCATGGTGGGGGTTGGGGGGGCGGGGAGGAGAGGCCTGAGCAAGCACCGTCCCACATTTCTGCCCTCCTGAGTAAGAACAGCAGGTCATCCAGCAGCCACAATGCAGCAGCTCACTGCCGGGTCAGAAACAGCCAACAAGGGACTTCAGGGATCAAGGAGACGTAGGAGTTTCGGGAAAGCTCCTCCTAGTACGCTTGAGGAAAAGCACCCAGACCATAATCCAACTATGACTTGGTCATCTGGAGAAGAGTCTGTCACCCACTCTGCCTCCGTCCTCCCATCTCTATTACCCTCTGGGAGGCAACGTGGCACAGTGGTTTAAGTACAGGCTATGGAACCAGCCGCTCCTCTACACAGGTCACTTTGAACCATCCATCCATCCTCTCTGGGCTTTCTGTTTCTTCATTTACCAAATGGGAATGATCCCAGTCAACACCTTCACAGGGCAGTTACTAAGAAGCAGGTGGGTTATAGAACACCATGAGTTGAGCATAATGCCGGGGACAGGGTAGGCACTTCATAATACCTTCCTTCCTCTCCTTACTCATTCACCTCATATCTGAATACCTGCTCTGTGCCCAACACACTTCCCTAGAACCAGAAGCCCAGAAGCTATAATCCCAGTTTTGTAAGTGAGCAGGAAACAGAAGTCAGGGTTAGCCAGGGTAATTCACAATAGTACCTTGCGAATTAAAAGGAGGATGAAATGTTCAATGTGTCACTTCCCTGAGCCATGGAATTCATTAGAAGGGTCATGAGCCTCTGAGGTTCCTGTTCTCCTGTCCCAGGAGGAGGCTGACCTGCATGCTGTAGTGAACCCAGGACACATGAGGTAGGTGCAAGGGGGACACTGTGGCGCTAAGTGCTTTAGGAGACCGCTATGGCCTGAGATTCCTGTAGACAGAAACCAAGAACTACACAGGAACCCGACTGCTGATAATCGATCAGACCTTATTGAAAGAGAATATGGTATGAAAAGAGGCCCACA